CTGTGTGTGACTATGTCTAACAAATATATTCTGTATTATCCTTGAAAACACTGACACTTCCACCAAAATGTTAAATAAAAATATAATAGTAAAAAAAACATATCCTACTGTTCAGTCATGTAGGCATCATAAAGAATTTTTGACTGCTCAGCATACCCCATTTATGTCTAAAGTCATGAAAGAATTATGTAAGCTTCTTTAAATTAACCACCTTCAAATAATGTCTTTATCATCCCCATCTGAATGGCCTGGTTAAATGTTTTAATAAATCCCTTAAAAGTATGTTGAAAATGGTTGTTGAGAAGGGTGGATACATTTGGGATAGTCTTTTTTCCATATCTAATGTTCTCAAGAAGTGACGTGCCACAAACCTCTACTGGGGTTTCCCCTTTTGAACATTTATGTGCACAACATTCGAGAGGTCTATTAGGTGTAGCTAAAAAAACCTGGGAGCAGGAATCAAACCCTTACTGCAGTGTTGTTAAACACGTAGCTCGGATGCAAGATATGCAAGAATGATGCTTGCCATGCCTATTGTGAAGGAACATGCATAAAGAAGTATAGCTATAACAAGAATGTAAGCCTTACAGAGTTATATACTTAAGTGAGAGTTCAAAGTGAATTGAAGGTGAATTTAAAATGTAAGTAGTTGATCAGAAAGCGTAAATGACATTTTGACCTTAAATTTGAAATCCACTTTAAATTCACAATAAATTCTCACTTTAGTGAATAATCCTGTTAGAGACTCTCATTGAGGTGACCAGGTATTAGTTTTGGTTTCCTCAGTGGAGAATAAATGTCTTGCCACTTGGCATAACCCATATGAAGTTACTGAGTAAATAGGAGAAATTTATTATGAAGTGAATCAGCTCAATAGAATGAAACAGGTATACCATATACCAAAGTATTAATCTCTTTAGTATCCCCTGACAATCCTTCTATTGACCCTAAAGAAAATATGGTAGAAACATCAAAAATAACAGAAGGGCACATATGTTATTAGAAGATTTAGGAATCTGTTTTTGTAGTTCCAAGTAGGACCAAAATCCTCAAGGTTGGCATTGTTATAGAAACTGGGTAAAAAAAAACTCCATAAAATTCCAGAAGCCTAAAAAGAGGCTATGCGATTCCTCTATAATTCCAAGATCTAACATTTTTTTAAGCAGGTTACTTACCATTAGCTTAACATTTTTTATATCTTGGCATTACAGAAGAATCCCAATGCAAGTGGAATTGTCCCATTGGATTAGTACCCAGACAGGTCCATAAGATTTTGCAATGAATACCATATATTGAACAGTGTGTCCAAATCTGATACTTAATGCCTAAGATTGACAAACTCATACACAAAATTGATAAAGCACAACACATACCAACTTTAGATCGGACATGATATTAGCAAGTACCTCTTACTGACAGAGCAAAGAAAAAGACAGCTTTTTGAACATCAGAAGAGTTGTTCCAATACAAAATGTTGCCATTTAGCCAGCAAGCTTCTGCTACTTTTCAGATTAATGGATAAATCTTTGAAGCGTCATCATCATTATGCTGCAGCATATTTAGATGACATACAGTGTTATTTAATAGAGTGACAATTCAAAGTGAATTAAAAGTAACTTTTTCAACTTTAAGGCCAGAGTAGCTAAACTGAAAGCATGGCTGACTTAGAGAATATTTCCAGTTGGCTTTTTTGTCCTTAAATTTGAAATGTACTTTGCATTCTTACTGATAGCCACTTAAGCTTTAACTGGGACTCATATCTCCCTAAGTTACAGGCAGTTTTGTATTTTACCCAGTTAGCTTGCCTAACGGGTAATCCTTCAAAGGAGGAAAAATATCTAGGTTAATCAACTAGAAGAGGGCTGGTCAAACCGCAGTTAATAAAAGAGGAAGCCATGAAAAATTGTTGTCATTTTTTTTTCTTTTAGTTCATATGCTTGTGTTTGGAGGCTTTGGAGTATTGTTGTGCCCATTCACAAGAAAGGTAATAGGGAGGAGTCGGGCAACTATTGGCCAGTAATCCTTACTTCAGTAGTGGGGAAAGTGATGAAAACCATGTAAAAGGATAGGATTGATGAACATCTAAAAACACATGGATTTCAAGATCAGAGACAACATGGGATTTACTTCAGGGAGATCATGCCGAACTAATCTTATTGATTTTTTTGATTGGGTAACTAAAATTATAGATCAGGGTGGTGCAGTAGACATTGCTTACCTAGATTTCAGTAAGGCTTTTGACACTGTTGCACATAGAAGGCTTATCAATAAACTGCAATCTTTAAGTTTGGATTCAAATATTGTTGAATGGGTAAGGCAGTAGCTGAGTGACAGGCAACAGAGGGTTGTAGTTAATGGAATATATTCGAAGCTTGGACTTTTCACCAGTGGGGTACCTCAGGGATCTGTACTTGGACCCATTCTCTTTAATATTTTTATTAGTGATATTGCAGAAGGTCTTGATGGTAAGGTATGTCTTTTGCTGATGATACTAAGATATGTAACAGGGTTGATGTTCCAGGAGGGATAAGCCAAATGACAAATGATTTAGGTAAACTAGAAAAATGGTCAGAATTGTGGCAACTGACATTTAATGTGGATAAGTGTAAGATAATGCATCTTGGACGTAAAAACCTAAGGGCAGAGTACAGAATATTTGATAGAGTCCTGACCTCAACATATGAGGAAAGGGATTTAGGGGTGATTATTTCGGATGACTTAAAGGTAGGCAGACAATGTAATAGAGCAGCAGAAAATGCTAGCAGAATGCTTGGTTGTATAGGGAGAGGTATTAGCAGTAGAAAGAGGGAACTGCTCATGCCATTGTACAGAACACTGGTGAGACCTCACTTGGAGTATTGTACACAGTACTGGAGACCGTATCTTCAGAAGGATATTGATACCTTAGAGAGGGTTCAGAGAAGGGCTACTAAACTGGTTCATGGATTGCGGGATAAAACTTACCAGGAAAGGTTAAGGATCTTAACATGTATAGCTTGGAGGAAAGACGAGACAGGGGGGATATGATAGAAACATTTAAATATATAAGGGAATCAACACAGTAAAGGAGGAGACTATATTTAAAAGAAGAAAAACTACCACAACAAGAGGACATAGTCTTAAATTAGAGGGACAAAGGTTTAAAAATAATATCAGGAATTATTACTTTACTGAGAGGGTAGTGGATGCATGGAATAGCCTTCCAGCTGAAGTGGTAGAAGTTAACACAGTAAAGGAGTTTAAGCATGCATGGGATAGGCATATACTCCTTTACTGTGTTAACCTCTACCACTTCAGCTGAAAGGCTATCCCATGCATTCACTATCCTCTCAGTAAAGTAATACTTCCTGATATTATTTTTAAACCTTCGCCCCTTTAATTTAAGACTATGTCCTCTTGTTGTGGTAGTTTTTCTTCTTTTAAATATGGTCTCCTCCTTTACTGTGTTGATTCCCTTTATGTATTTAAATGTTTCTATCATATCCCCCCTGTCTTGTCTTTCCTCCAAGCTATACATGTTAAGATCCTTTAACCTTTCCTGGTAAGTTTTATCCTGCAATCCATGAACCAGTTTAGTAGTCCTTCTCTGAACGCTCTCTAAAGTATAGCCTTCTGAAGATATCATCTCCAGTACTGCGTACAATACTCCAAGTGAGGTCTCACCAGTTTTCTGTACAATGGCATGAGCCCTTCCCTCTTTCTACTGCTAATACCTCTCCCTATACAACCAAGCATTCTTCTAGCATTTCCTGCTGCTCTATTACATTGTCTTCCTACCTTTAAGTCATCAGAAATAATCACCCCTAAAACCCTTTCCTCAGATGTTAAGGTTTTGACTCAATCAAATATTCTGTACTCTGCCCTTGGGTTTTTACGTCCACATTAAATGTCAGTTGCCACAACTCTGACCATTTTTCTAGTTTACCTAAATCAGTTGCCATTTGGCTTATCCCTCCTGGAACATCAGCCCTGTTACATATCTTAGTATCATCAGCAACAAGACATACCTTACCATCAAGACCTTCTGCAATATCACTAATAAAAATATTAAAGAGAATGGGTCCAAGTACAGATCCCTGAGGTACCCCACTGGTGACAAGCCCAAGCTTCAAATATACTCCATTGACTACAACCCTCTGTTGCCTGTCATGCAGCCACTGCCTTACCCATTCAACATTATTGGAATCCAAACTTAAAGATTGATAAGTCTTCTATGTGCAACAGTGTCAAAAGCCTTACTGAAATCTAGGTAAGCAATGTCTACTGCACCACCCTGGTCTATTATTTTAGTTACCCAATCAAAAAAATCAATAAGATTAGTTTGGCATGATCTCCCTGAAGAAAACCCATGTTGTCTCTAATCTTGAAATCCATGTGTGTTTAGATGTTCAACTAAACACACATCCTATCCTTTACATGGTTTCCATTACTTTCCCCACTACTGAAGTAAGGCTTACTGGCCTATAGTTGCCCGACTCCTCCCTATTACCTTTCTTGTGAATGGGCACAACATTCGCTAACTTTCAATCTTCTGGGACTACCCCTGTTAACAATGATTGATTAAATAAATCTGTTAATGGTTTTGCTAGTACACCACTAAGCTCTTTTAATAAATTTGGGTGTATTCCATCAGGTCCATCATTAAGCCGAGTAAAATTAAATGGGCTTCATGTTGCAGGGATGGATGGTTTGGGTCTTTTAAAGCTGCAGTGTTCAAAATTAAATGGCCTTCATGTTACAGGGATGGATGGTTTGGGTCTAAGGAAGAGAGATAAGACAGTTACTTTACTTTAAAGGAATTTACAACTGAGTGGCAAGCGGGGGGATATTTATATATATATATATATATATATATATATATATAAAACAGTCCAAACGTTTGCACTCCTACCTCCAGCCAAAATGAAACTGGGTGCCAAGCCACACTTTTATGTAGGAAATAGAGAAATGCAGGCACTCCTGGATTTAAGAACAATAGTATTTATTGGCATGAATGTCAAAGTTTCAGTTGCTAGCTTTGAACTTTCATCAGGACACAAAAGCTTTTGTGTCCTGATGAAAGTTCCAAGCTAGGAACTGAAACTTTTCATTTCTCTATTTCCTATTTTTTTTATGACAAGATTTTGGGAGAACCTCCCTTTCTCAAGTCTTAAGCATTTCTGATCAAGACGACACATATAATTCAAAGTTGAGTTATGATACAGGGGTTAAAGTGACATGGGTGCAGATAAGACACAGGTTTGATAGAAAATAGACAACATTCATGCAGAGGGTCATAAATATATTTCTGAAGATCAGAGTGAGGGGGAGAGGGAAAAAAAACAAAACAGACAGTGCAGAGGATGGGGGTATTTAACTATAAATAGGACAATTACAAGAAAACTTACAGGAACTCTAGGTTAAAGTGGACCCTGCTCAAACGAGCTTACAGTATATAGAAAATATATAGCCATAAAGGACTTTTCTGGCACAATGCCCCCATAAACCAAACAATATACTGTAATAGGACCAAGGTGCTGTCTCAGCGCAATGTATAATAATCCAAATAACAAGAGCACTCACTGGATTTAGTGAAAAAAAATCAAAAACTTATTTAAATTTGCATAAATCAAATCAACGTTTCGACTGACAAACGGTCTTTATCAAGTTTTTTTAATTTTTTTCACTAAATCCAGTGAGTGCTGTCATTATTTGGATTATATATACAAATTAAAAAAGAGCATTAAAAAAAAGAGCAATGTCCGTAAATATATATAGTCCCAGGACGTGTTTCACCACATCAAATGGCTTTCTCAGCAGGGTAAAAATCCAAGTGATCTGGCAAACAGGACACTTGGATTTTTACCCAGCGTTCTGGGACAATATATATATGGACATTGCTCCTTTTTTTATTTGTATATTTTAAAGTGTATTAATAAATTTTACTGTATTTTACCTTGGTTGTCGGTATCACTTATATAAAAAGGGAGCGCACAATAAGTTACTGCAGAGCCACAGGGGTCTACTTTGTAAGTATTTATATGGCTTACAATTTAATACCACTGGTTGTATCGTTAATACTCTATTTGGGCTTCATTTATTTTCCCTAGGACTGGATATCATCTCCTATAGGGGTGGGCTGCCTTAACGGACCCGACGCGAACCAAACCGGAGCTGGGTTTTATAGCTCCTCGTTTGTGAATGTGCAGTACATTTTCATTTTTTTTATTCCTACTTCTGCTTTATATAGTCTGCACCATGTTGTATTTTTTATACTTTTAGAAAATGGGAATCTGATAATTGGATGTACACCGACGGTTATTCTTAAGGTTTAATTGGAAACTCCATAAAATATTCACAAAGCGGATAAGTATTTTGACATTTCATAATCTTTTAAATTAGCGCTAGACTTCTTTTTGTTGTTACTTTGTCATTTCAGGAGTACCATGTAGGGTTAAACTTTTAAGTGTTATAGCTGCTACAGTTGAAATTTACAGATACTATTTATCTAGTCTGCATTTTAAAGTGCCAGTACTTGCCTTCACTTTTTTTTACCTCTGCGCATTAGGACTAGTGTACAAAGATCGTATCCACTACCTAATGTTCTCCCCAAAACCCATATGTTCCAGGGTTGCCTGCATTAAGGAGCAGTCCACATGATCAAATGCCTTTTCAGCATCTGTAGACAACAATATCAAATGGCATTTCTCTTACTGCACCAGGTGTATGATGTTGTATACTCTTAAAATATTGTCTCTGGCTTCCCTCCCAGGAATAAAGCCATTTTAATCTGGAACAAAAGTATGGAGCTTGTAAAAATGATTGGTAGGGATCAAAGAAGGAGGTGCCAAGTTGCAGGATAAAGAGTTGTATACTTCTACATTTAATTTTTTTTCCACATATATTTTTTTTCAGTATAGGGATAAGTAAATACAATATTGAAAATCTTAGGAAGTGACAATTCCTCTTAACTGAGAAATTGAAAAATTAGTTAATGTGGTGCTATAGAATAAAAAAACAAAAACATTAAATGGTATGCTGCCTAGGTGTTCTCATTGACTCCGACCTCTCCTTCACCCCTCATTTCCAGTCGATTGCCAAATCCTGCCGCTTACATCTCAAAAACATAGCTCGCATCCGCCCCTATTAAACACCAGACGCAGCTAAGGTGCTGGTCCATGCAGTTGTTCTTTCTCGTCTTGACTACAGCAAGCCCTTTCTCAGTGGTGTAACGTGCTCCCAGATTGCAGCGGCAAGGCTCATTTTCCTGTCCGCCCGCACCTCCAACACTTCCCCCCATATCAGTCCCTATATTGGCTTCCAGTAAGATATAGGGCTCAATTTAGGATTCTGGTGCTTGCTTACAAGTCCCTACATAATGCTGCTCTACCTATCCCATCCTTCGTCGAGGACTCTGCGCTCTACCGAAGACCTACGTCTCTCCTCTGTCCGTACTCCCACATCTGATGCTCGCCTCCAAGACTTCTCCTGGGCTCCACTTTTTCTGTGGAACTCCTTTCCCTTCTCCGTTAGACTTTCACCCAGTCTCCACACTTCTTCAGGAAAGCATATCATTTAAACTGTTAGCGGGTTTTCACCCCCCCCCCCCATAACTCCTTTCCTGCGACTGTCAAAAATAACCTACCAAGTTCTCAGTGAATACTTTTTTAGCAACCTATTTCATTACCTCTGCTTATACCCTTTGTGTAACTATATACCCTTTGTGTAACTATATCCCACTCCCTCTAGTATGTAAGCTCATTGAGCAGGGCCATCAACTCCTCTGTTCCTGTGCGTCCATTTGTCTGGTTACAAATACATGCCTGTTAGTCCACCCATTGTACAGCGCTACAGAATTTGCAAGCACTATAAAAATAATAAAATAATAATAATAATAATGATTAAAAATATATAAGCAAGTGGTAAAAATAACACTGATTGGAAAAACGTGGTTTCAAGTCTGCTTCATTTAAAAGTTTGTTTCTTTAGTTGTGTTCAAAAATGTATTACATGCTCATTGTCAAAAGGATTATCATGGGTTTCCTGTTCAATACTTGATTTTTCCATACACAAAATAATATACAGACCACTAAAAGAAAAGAGGAAGTTTAAGTCATTTCTAGTTCAGAATAAATTGCAATCTCATTCTCTTACCAGCAGGTCAACAATGTAGCTGTGATCATTTGAAATTTAATTTTCCAGTGAGGTTAAATCTTAAATATTCAGTTGTAATTCTAGAAGATTTTAAAACATTCAAAAATAGATTTGACATTTTAAAAGCAGGTATAGTATTTCGCTGTTAAGCCTTTAGTGTATATATTCTTGCACTGAATAAATTCTGCAGGAAAATATACCAAAAACAGTAGCGGGCTAGGACATCAGATGGTGATACAGGGAAAAAAAAAAAGAGTTAAAATAACACAATATATATTATGTACATTATAATGTAAAATTATATATAAATATATATTTTTATTATATATATATATATATATGTTAAGGCGGAGCCTGTAGTTGTGGGAGGGGTTAACCGGCTATTGAAACTCTAACCAACCTCCTATCATGGCCGAGATCAAGTCAGACTCCAGTGGCGTCACTTCCGGTTTCGGTCAGTCAGCACCTCCAGTAGCAACAAGGATCCCAACAACTCCCAGCCAACACCAGCACCAAAGTTGAAGGGCTCCAACACCAGCCTGCTTGCCCATCTGGGTCCCGCCACCGGTGCACCCAGACCAAGCACACTTCCGGGTCTCGTAAGTACAGCTCTCCCCCCCGCCGGACACACAAACAGTCCGACAGTACTTCCGGGTACACAGCCCGCCAATTAGGAGCGGGAGGGGGCCGGCACATGCACTCATACGTGCCAAACCCCTCCCCCCACACACACAAACGGTCCGACAGTACTTCTAGGTACACAGCCCGCCAATTGGGAGTGGGAGGGGGCCGTAAAACGCACTCATACGCGCTGAAACTCCCCCTACCCACACACACCAAAGTTCCAACGGTACTTCCGGCTTCCGGGTACACAGCCTGCCAATGGGAGTGAGGGGGGGCTGCAAGCTCACTCATACGTGCCGAACCCCCCCAAACGATCGTGCGGCAGAGGAGCCGGCTAACAAACACACACAAGCCGTCCCCCGTCCCCTGTCTCTAACAACTGGAATAGTAATCAGTTTCCAATATCTTGGTACAACCATTGCAGCCACGATTAAAACATGGCCAACTAGTATTCTATGAACTCTCCTTTTTTTTTTTCTATGTAAATGGTATGATTGTATATGTGATACATATTACATAAATAATTTTGCAATTTGTATGAGTGCTACCATTCCAACTTCATAGTTAATGCAATTTGATTTTCTTCATTCCATCCATATTTGTAAATATAGGGAAAAAAAAAAAAACTGTCACTCCTACACAATCTCTAAACACAAACACACACTCTAGTGCCGAATACAAGGCAAATACAAGTTAAACCCAAAACTCACTCAGTTTTTCAACATACATGTATTTTCAGCTAGGCAACACCTAACATAGGATCACAACGCCTTTGAATATCTCTCTACTACATAACAGGTAAGTGTGAGAAATTTCCCATTAAGATTTTTCTCAGTATTTCGGCTCATATACTCACCCTGATTATTGCCTAGGTCGCCTGGGACAACTCATAGTTCACGAATCTTGATCCTGTATCCATCGGTCAAGTCACGTCCAGGTAATACTTTCCCCATTTGGCCACACTCAAATATGGCAAGCCAGAAGCATTAATTTTTTCCCCATCTTTGGTCTCCAATCCAATCCCAGGCATCTCGTGTTCAGTAGCAAGTCCTACGTAGAACAAGTCCTACGTGGAACATTAATTACGTTTCCATAGGTCAAACCATTCATCCAAATTCGCTAACCGCACGTGAGTATTTGCCCCCATTCCCCCTCCACTTTCTCCCACCACACACCCGATAGACCAACAGGTTATTAGGCCAGCTCATCGGCTCCATTTTAACCACACACCTAATGCACGCTAATACACAGTGCATAGATCGTCAAACCCACCACCGGGGCACGACATCACCTAAATCGTTCCATAAAATCACTTTATGTATCACAA